GGATATGACAGGGGTGGGGTTGCGGAGTGGTGGATATGACGAGTAATTTGTTTGGAATATCCATTGCCTTTTTTATTTCAGATCATTAGCTTCCTGCTTTGATCTGGTTTCCTTCTTCTTTTTTTTTTTTTCTATGGTAAACAAGCAATAATGGCAAACGTAATGATAAAAGTGTATGCAATTTCATAGTGAATACGAGTTGAACCTTTAGATATCCCAAATATACTGTATTTTGCTTAACCCGAATTAGAGTAGAAGGAGTTTATTTTTTTATTTATTTTTTCTAAAACAGAGAGGGTATGAATTGTGTGAGGGGTTTCAAGACCGTGAGATTCGTTTTTTAATATCTCATTGAGATATGATATGATTGATTTCTTGGCGGCTTGCACCGAAGAAACTGCATCACGCATTTATTTATTTATTAATTTAATTTCTTTTCCAGAAAAGCAAGTTAATATTATACGACGTAGGTACATAGATATTGTATGTACATAGGTCAAACTCATGAGCATAAATCAATACGTATGCCTCTCCTATAGTGCTCCATGATCATGCATGCTATGTACGTATGTATGTAACTAACTACAGTACGCTTGTATCTCATGCGCACCGACGATGATTTTTTTTCCTTGGTTCTGCATTTCAGCGACGTCGAATCAGGTTAGTTTTAGGGGCATAACGACAGCTATTTATGGATTGTGAAAGCGAATTCCTAAATCCTAGAAAAATAAATGAGACCGGCGATCCTTTAGGATCTCGCAGTCATCTCGTCGAGCAGACGCATTTTGTTCACAGCAATGAAGATGTGCCGACATTTCCGACATCATTTAATCTGGCCGATGCGTAGTAGTAAATACTCAATGGAAACGGATTCGCCACTTTGTGGCCAAGCGCTTGAGGAAGAAACATGTATGAACTATGTAAGATTAGTGGATGCCCAGCAATTACAATGAGCACATATAAAGTAAAATTGATTCTTATAGCTTTTGCATTGATCTCTACACCTTATATGCGCCGGGAATATTGAGTAGAGAACGCCTTGTACACGTAATTAGTGATTTAAAACCACTTTGTATTTCGCAATCAGTGATTACTCTGATGAAGTCCGTAAACTATCATCATCATCCATCATCACACTCGAAT